CCTGTTCCTCGTCGTTGCAGCTTCGGCAGCGTTTGCCAAGCTCCGTGTTACTGAGTTTCCGTCCCCTCCTTACGCCATGCCACCCAGGAAGGCGAAGAGAAGCCCAAGGTTGTTTCCTGCTCTCTAATTAAGTCATTCGGTTTTCCTGTTTAACCATCTGTGTTGCAAGTTTTGTAATATTTTGAGAGGTTTCGGTACTGCTGTTTACGTTCTCTGTTTTAAGTTTTGTAATCGATATGTTTTGTCTTTTGGTCGTCTTCCTGTTTACCAAAATGGTTTAAGTTTTGTAATTTATATATTTCTTTGGGTTCCGGTTTATTGGTAATGTTCCAGTCCCTCAAATCGGATGTTATTATGTAAGCAGCTCGGGATATGTGTAACGATGGTTACTCTCTTACGAAAATGGAAATCTAAATGCTATGTGCTCCAGTCAAGCTGAGTTTCCTTTCCACTAAATCCCCATTCATACTCATAGACACACAAGAGACCCACATGCTGCCAGCCACCCTTCCATCATCCAATCTCCCGAGATGATTAAGAAAGTCTTCCACGGAATCTCAACGGAGAGACGTGACTCTGAGGACCGTGATGCAACGGGGTATTATACAACGTCAATTGATCCCCATGATTCACTGCGGAAACAAGGGGGTTGCCCAACGAGGGAGTGAGCAGACTGCACTTATCCCTCGAGTGTTGCCTGGGAAGTGTGTGAGGACATTTACCCTGGCTGGCTTCCGGAGACTCGCCCCAAGAGCTTTGCTTAAGGTCGGGACCATCCTGTCGCTCCTCCGTTTTTACCTTTGCTTGAAGGTGAAACATTAGTCATGCTGCATTAACAGTCATACTTACTGATCAAACATGACCAAGGTTGAGCACGTTTTGTTACACCATTTAATAGTGTGTGATTAAACGACTTAACCTTTGAATTTAATATCGCTGAGACCCATTGACATTTTTTATTATTTAGGCGTAGAGTATGCAAATGGAGGTTGCGAAAATAATATTTGCAAGAGTAAACGATAATAAACCAATATCCAGGAAGAGAACGACTGCCCTTGAGAGAATGTTATCTCAATGAGATTTTGTTGAGAAGTGCTACAACACTGATAAAAGCTGAGAAGTCTACGTGACAGACCACTACATACTTCTCATCCAAGATAAAGAGAAAGTGACACCTTCAGAGAAAGTAACCACCAGGTTGTCTCAAAATACGCCGAACCATTCACAAAGACCCGACTGTGTTTTACGAATGACAATTCACACAATGAATCACCAGACGAGGGGCGCCGCCGCGTGGGTAGTTTTGCCCTAAGAGAGAGTAAACAAAGGAGGGGGGGGGGTTACCAGACGTCCTCTAGCGAAGGTTAAGCTAATTGGACCGGTTAAAAGATGTTATTATTTTGACGAAGGACCAGAGGTGTGTGTATCGTTTTCATTCCTTAAAAAAATGAAAAAAAAAAAAACTTTAGTAGATTATAGACATACATATACGCTAATAATATCTCTTCTTAAAGTAATATCATTCCAGGACACTAATCTCAGTGATTTATGAACTTCCCATTTACAAAATCTACATCGTAAAATAAAAATAACATTCTCAAGATTTGTTAAATTGTTCTTCTTTCCACAAACCAAAGGGTGTAGGCCTATAATATAAACACAAATATAATATAAATTCTACCACTTCAGCTCTAATAAGACTACAACGTCTATACTTTCACTGTATTTCAGAAAGGAGTCGGGCGGTTTTGAGTTCCACCTGTTCGAGAATTTCCCCGAGAATGAAATTTCAGAGAAATATAACGAGTCATAAATGTTTCTCCGGTTCCAGTATTACTCTTTGGACGAACAAGATCTTATCGCCCGTAATTTCCTGCTGTCTATTTCTTTCATATTTTTTTCTTTCTTTCTTTCTTTCTTTCTTTCTTTCTTTCTTTCTTTTTTTTAATACAATAGAATTAATTTGTTATGGGAATTATTTTTTCTTCTTGAATTTGAAAGCAAGAAATTTGAATTTCGAAGTTATTCTCAGAAGAATTTAGTTGAAGTTTTACCTCGAAAAATGATTCGGAACACAAAATCAGAACCAATGTATAGAAAATGACTTGCAATCGTCAGTATTTGAAAAAAAAAGAATAAAATTCCCCACTAAACATCACGAAACCGCACGGATTCGAAACAGAATAACCCAGTGATAAAAAGGACCAACACAAGATTAGGAAAAAATGAAAACAAGAAAAGAAAAACGGAAGAGTTCATGGCATAATTTCCGCTCTTGCAAGGAGTGAGATCCCCTGGACGGTTATTCCTGTTGACATTCCCGGCGTCCTTGAGGGGATACGAGCTCGCTTCACTATCCCTTCCCCTTCCTTTCTGTCTCCTCTTTTCATTTTCCATTCGGTCTCCACCTTCCTCTTTTCATTTTCCATTCTGTCTCCACCTTCCTCTTCCCTTTCTGATTACTTAATTTCCCTTCACTTCCGATTTCTATGTTTTCCTTCCGTTCTGTCTCTTTTCTTCCCCCCTTTCCATCTGTCTCCATTTTATTCCCCAATTCTTAACTTATCTTAATTGTCCCATTCTCGTCCTTCTCCCCATTTACCTCCATCCCCATGACAGTCTCTCCTTCCCTCACTCTCACCCCCCCCATTATCTCTCCCCCCCCCACACTCTCCCTCCTTCGTCCATCGTCTTACTCTCCCCTCCCTCCCCACCCCCACTCTCCCTGCCTCCCCTTCCCCTCTCCCCTTCCCCTCCCCATCCTATCTCAACCTCCCGATCCCCAATTCCCCCTCCTCTTCCCCTCTCCCCCTCCCCTCCCCATCCATACACACTCACTTTCTCTCGCTCTCCCCACTCCCCCTCTCCCCCTCCCCTTTTCCTCCTCTCCCCCCCCCCCTCCCCCTGTACTCCCAAATCCCTGACACAACTCGGGATTTCCTGCCCAGAAACTGTTCTCCTTTTGGGATTAAGTGTGACTCTCGTTCTGAGCCATTGAGATACCCTTTTTTCCGAGTATTTCTCCGTCTAATGTCTTAATCGTGTAAAATCTCTTACATCATATAATAACCTTCATTGATCTCTAACGGTGTAATCATCTGGAAAGAAGAGACAATATAATCCCCGACTTGAATGACCTAAAAAGGATAGGAAAGATAAAAAGGAAACGTATGAAAGATAAGACAGGATTCAGAGCAACGATGAATGAAGTTGAAAGCGCTGCCGTAGTCAGAGACATAAGACTAGAAAGAAAGAAAGAAATGTATGTATACACACATATATCTTATATATGCACACACACACACATAACATACATGCACATATATATATATATATATATATATATATATATATATATATATATATATATATATATATATATATGTGTATGTGTGTGTGTTTGTGTGTGTGTACGTGTGTGCGTTACTGCTTGTGAATATTTAAGATACTCTGACTGCAAATCGAATTTCCGAAAGGAAATGAAAAAAAAATATCAAGGAGTGGTCAACGACAACCTCCCCCCCCAAAAAAAAAAAAATCATCGACGTAAACTAGTAACAAATACAAACTGACTCTGAAGGACAACGAGCCTAAAATCATAGCAGTCCTAACCTTGGGTATTCTCACCTACTCTGGTTTCAAATAAAAGAGTACTAACATGGCACCTGAAACGGATTTACGCAGCTGGAACTTTCCATATAATTAAGGCCACGGGAAGGGCATCCGGCGATTTCCAGGTGCCAATTGTCGAGAGGCAGTTTTTTTCCCGGAGAGACTCATTAGAGGTGCACGGTTTTCCATGCAGTACATAATCATGTGTATATGTAAGTACGCACGTAGAGATGTACATATGGTGATAGAGACAGATATTACTCATATATGCACACTATATACACACATACGCACAAACACACACACACACACAAACAGACGCACGGATACACACACGCACACACACACACAAACAAGCACACACGCACACACACACACAAACAAGAACATATAGACGCACACACACACAGACACACACACAAACAAACAAGAACACACAGACGCACGCACCCACAAACAAGCACACACACACACAAACAAGCACACACACGTACACACACAAACACACATCATTTATAATCGATATCTTAGTATCAAAAAGGCAAAAAAAAAGAATAAAAAATGAAAAAAAGAAAACAGAAGAAGAAGGAGGAGGAGAAGAGGAAGAAGTAGACAAAGAAAATGAAGAAAGAGAAAGAAGGAGAAGAACAAGGACAATATGGAGGAAAAAGAGGAAAAACGGAAGGGGAAGCAAAAGAAAAAGGATTAAAAAAAAAGAAAATTAAGAAGAAAAAGGAAAAATGAAAATATAGTGAAAAAATGGAAAAAAAAATCTGAAAAAAATAAGAGGAAAAACAAGAAGAAAGATAAATAAGAAGATGAGACAGAAGAAGGATCAGAATAATAAAAAAGTAAAATACTAAATCGAAACTAAATAGAAAAAGCAAAATGAAGAAAAATGGAGAATCAGAAGAAGAAAAAGAAAAGAAAAAAAGAAGAAGAAATGGAAGAATGGGCAGTAAAGGAAGGAAAATAAATAGTATAGAACGAGAAGAAGAAAAAAAAGAATAAGGCGAATAATAAAGAAAATAATAAAACAAAGGATAAAGAAAAGAAAACGATAAATAAAGAAAACGGAAGAACAATAAAAGAAAGCAAAAGAGAAAAAAATAGAAAAAACCGGACAAAAAAAAGAGAAGAACAGACAGACAGACAGACACAGATAAAACAGACAGATACAAACAGACACAATTTTTTTAAAGTAAAACACATAAAAAATAAAACAAATAAATATATCAAAAGAGACAAACACACAAACCCATAAACTAAGAAGATAATTGAATACCATTAAAAAAAAAGACAGATAGACAGACAAACTAATCGATAGACAATAACCAGCACGAACATATACGCAGTTTGAATTATTAAGGGTTGTGGCTGTGATGTCT